GCTATATTTCCCTCCTTTGAGCTCCTGATGTGTGTTTCACTGTTGATTATTAAAAAGGATTTTGTGCCGTGTGTATGCTCGTCCTGCATATGCAAACAGAAATTTTTCCATGTCCACTTAGAGTGGAAAAATGATGGCACTGGTTTGCATGATGTAGGGGACCATCTGCAAAGAAAATCATATGTAAAGCGAGGAGATGACCTCTGACCACATCTGAATCCTTTCTCATCCTGTGCACACATAAAACAATAGAGCGCATGATGGTCCACTGCAGGTCAAACAAATGGATTCTGGTGCTGAAGAGGAAGAGGAGGAGGAAGAGAGATGGATTTTCCCCTCTTATCAAAACCAGAAGCAGAATCATGGAGTCGTTCAAACAAGTGGACCATTAAATAAACATTCAGATCATAAAAAAAAACAAGTTTTCTGCCCTGTTTGTTTTAGCTGGGCAGATCTCAGGCTCCAGAGCTCATTTGAATTCATGGATGTGGTCACCGGGAGAGCTCACCCACAGGGTGTAACCCTCATTTGGGAGCCAGGGCTGAACCTTCCACCACCAGCAGGTCTTTAACCATCAGAGGAGCCACTCTTTCCATCCAATGTTGTTTAGACTCTTTCTAAGTAATTAATCATAAAACACAAGCCCAAACTTAGGGTTCTTTCACTGACGTTGCTTTTTACAGTTCACAGTGTTTTCACACTTAATAAAAACGTCTCATAAATCATGTTTTTAAAGTTTTTGTTCCACCTTTTTACATTTCGGCCCCACATAAATTACCTTAACCTCAAAGTTAGCATTACATTCATTCAATGCATGTCACCCTTCATTATCTGAGATCTACACGAAGTTGTAGCCATTTTGACCAACCTTTCCATGCACAATGTCACGTTGACGTTGCCAGATGTGCTGCTCAGAGTATGTGTCGTGAATGACTCTCAGCTACTACCACATCAAATCTTAGCTCAATATTTGTTAAATTGACTGAGTTACTGCTATTTAGTGTTGACTAATATTGATGAGCTGTGGCAGCCATTTTCAGCTGGGTTGACTCCAAAGTTAATGAGTTTTAATGAGTTGTAGATGAACCTCTAATGGTTACTTTCTGCACGTTTCTGTAAAATTCGTCCAGTAGTTTATGAGATATTTTGCTAACAGATACACACAGACACATGTAAAAACATAATAGCTGCCAATAGGCAGACAATTATGATTTACTTATAAAAAATAAAAACTGCTAATAAAAGATGTTTTTGCTTATTTACAAATAATTGTTTCTAATTATTTTTCCACCTAAAAGCTTTGACAAGTGTTTTCCTCATACAATTAGATTCTTGAGCTTCACGGTAGATGCTTGTGAAGCAAATTATCTCTGCCAGCAGGACAGAAGTGTTTTATAATGATCTACGTGACACATTTTTATAATAATAATAATAATAATAATAATACTTTATTTATAAAGCCCTTTAAAACAACCACAGCTGCCACAGAGTGCTGTACATATAAAATCAAGAACATTTAAACACATAAAAACAGTTGTCAAAACATTAAGATCAATAAAAATAATAAAAACAGTGCAGAGCAAAATTCAGTGTGTGCTAAAAACCAGGGAGTAAAAATGTGTTTTTAAAAGAGTTTTAAAACTGGACAGTGAAGGGGCTCGTCTGATGGGAAGTGGGAGATCGTTCCACAGTCTTGGAGCAGCAACAGAAAAAGCTCTGTCCCCTCTGAGCCTCCGCTTAGACCTCGGCACCTCCAGGAGCAGCTGATCAGCTGATCTGAGGCACCGAGCAGGAGAGTATAGGTGAAGCAGCTCAGAGAGGTAGGATGGAGCAAGACCATTTAAACATATGATGCTGCATAGAGTCACAAAACAAACAAATGATATCTAATTGCAGCAGATTTGCTTAAGTTGTCACAGTGTAGACTGGAAAACCAATTTGTTTACAACACCCCCGAAAGCTGCTGCTGTCATTCTGTGTTGTGAAACTTATACAAAGTAAAAGGAACTTAATTTCTCAGTGTAAAATAGAAAAGAGCTCAGATAATTTCTTGTCAGTGTTTTGTGATCTCGTTGAAAGATCCAAATGGAAACTGGAGGAATCGACGCATGAGAGAAAGTTGCAACAAATACTCTACGTAGGCAGCACTTCGTCTTAAAAACGACAAAACTCAGCAGTGAATGCATGAGCTTAAAGCTACCGAACAAAAATCAAGAATGGCAAAACCACAGAGTTTATTCATAAAATACATTAAAGAAGTATTAGTACACATGTAATAAATTAACGAGGTTTTGAACCAACACTTGCTTCCCTGTTCACAAATATTTTTTTCAGGAAAACACTGGATTATTTAACGAGACACGACCAAACCGTATTCATGAATTACCACATTCAATTATGTCTGGCCTGCAGTCCCAACAGTCACAAATAAATAAATAAATAAAATAAGCATTTTTATCACCTGACGTAGAAAGCATGCTGTTTATTTGTCATATGCAAGTTAACGCAAGGTCAGCAATGCAATGAAATGTTCAGGATGAGAAGAACAGATTCGACTCGCTAAAAAACAAACAAACAAAAAAAGAAATACTAAAGCATGCAATAAGAGTACAAAATAAAGTACCTAAAAGTGAAAAAGAAATATAATATTCAAGGTCCACAAGAAATATAGTAAACAACAACATGGTAGGGTATAACGGTGCAAGTAGGATTAATTTGTATAAGTATTTAGTAATATAAGCTTAAATACACATGATATATATATATATATATATATATATATATATATATATATATTGCACATAACATAAACTACACAGGTTGTGTGACAGGTTATTGCACAGGTAGTGAGTAACACTGAGATGAACTATGATGGTAAGGTAGACATACATACATGATGCAGCCACATAGTGCAGCAGCAATAAACATATTAGTTGTCACAGATGTGGCTTGGTGCAATGTTGTTGTCAATAGTTCATTATTATTGACAAGAGTTCAGTAATCTGAAAGCTTATCGATAAAAACTGTCTTTGAGTCTTTTCATGTGCGATGGGAGCCTCCTGGATCGTTTGCCTGAGGGTAGTAGATGGAAGAGTCCTTGTGCTGGGTGGGTGTGGTCCTTAATGAAGTATGAAGAGTTGGCAACACATCTCATGAAGCACAGAATTGATTTAAATGAAACTTTCAGAAAGAAATCGTTGGATCTACAGCTATTTAACTTTCCAAGCCAAACCAGTTTAACATGGCCGCCACAGCTGATCAATCACAAACATGGCTATATGCATCGTTTACAAGGTTTGATCAAAAACAGCGTGAACTCTGTTCTCAGCGTGAAAGGTAATCTCAGTGTGACACTTGGGGAGATATGCATTCCTTCAAGGACTGCTGGGAGTTTGTTTGTTGCTCCTGCTGAGTCATGATGTGAGAGCTCATCGTCTGAAACAACAGAGCTTGTTCTGTGAGCAGAAACCTGCAGCAGAGTCATTTACTGCAGGACATCAAATCTGAGATCTGGACATGATCTCTGGGTGGGTCACACAATTATGTTGTTTATGTCCCTTTTTAATGAGGAAATAATAACAAATGTGTTAAGGTTTAACACAATGATGAGTCTTGTGATAAGTCAACTTTCACTCAGTTTTTTAATTAATGTTTTATGATTTTGATAATTGGATTATTTCAGTTAGCTCTCTAATTCTCCCTCATTCATGCGTTTTGCACAATATGCATAAAAAGCTTTAACTATACCTTCTTTCTGCTTGAATAATCAGCTTTCTGTGGTCCTCACATAATTTTTCACAGAAAATTTTGGACAGACAAAACTTCAGATGAAATTCAATCCTGTCTGATTCTTTGATCTTTGCCACAAAAAAAAAAAAAAAAAAAAATATATATATATATATATATTTATATATATATAAATAACTGGAAGAGAGGAAAATAATACATATAATGATCTTCATCTACACGTTTGGCATGAAAGGTGGTGAGTGATATCCATTGCTTCAAGAAATGCATTTAAATGTAAGAGTACTAATATCTGTACGAGGTAAAAGCCTGAACCTGTGTTTCTGAGAACGTATCATTTTTAATAATTGCTGCCTTCTTCTCAACCCATCTGCTAAATAGTTGTTTTTAAATTTAATGTCAAGGAGTGAGGGCAAAGCTCTAAATGTGAGCTACAGTAAAATAAAAAACATCATCAGTAAACACTTCTTTTTCTTTCGGCTCTTTTCTCTTCAGGGGTCAACACAGCGAGTGATCCTCCTCTGTCCTCACTCCATCTACCTCCATGTCCTCAACTGCATCCATATATCTCCTCTTTGTCTTTTTCCTGGCAACCTTTCGACCAATATACCCACTGTCCCTCCTCTGGACATGTCCAAACCATCTCAGTCTGACCTCTCTAACTTTATCTCCCAGTTGTTCAACCTGTGCTGTACCTCTGATGATCTCATTCCTAATCTAATCCATCCTTGTCCTTGGAGGGGAGTGTGTGTGTGTGTGTGTGTGTGTGTGTGGGGGGGGGGGGGGGGGGGGGGTGGCTGTGTCACCTCTGTTTTTGATTATTTCCCATGCTTATAGAGCAGATGATTTATGCAAAGGTTTGTACAACTGAAGTGGTGCCAAAATATTAGGACTCTAAACAAGCAAGATTTTAAAATGAACAGAACACCATTGAGGGAGGCCAGCACAGGCGTGATCAAAAATGTGTAAATAAATATCATTTTATGCCAAACTTTGCATATTTTAAACTATTAAGAGACTAACCTGTATAAATAAAGGTTGAATGAAAAAAAAAAAATAGGCAGAACAGATATTTATGAGGGCTTATCCAAATTGTATTTAATGATGGCACTTATAAAATAAAATAAAAGATTTGTAAAATAAAAACATGAATTGAAATCAATTACTGACACTTCCTACCTTGGCCTCATTTTAAAAAAAAATTTCAATCTTGCATTATTTTAAAAGCTTGTTGCTCTGCTGCGCATGCGCAGTAGGCAGGTATGCGAGAAGAACGGGAAACATTTTAGGAGTCCGTCACAACATTTTGTTCCTTAGTCGGTTCCCCGTGAAAAACACGAAACAGCTCGACTCGGTCAAAGGTTCTCGCGTAAACGAAACAGACAGCCGTCGTAAAAGTCGCGGTTTTTGATCCAACGGAGAGATATTCGCGTTTAAATCGGGAATCGAGAGCGAGGTTTGGGCGTGTTTGAAGAGCTGGAGAGAGACAGACTGCCTCCTCCTCACCCTCACTGGATGCTAGCGCCGTAGCCCCTTGCATGTCGTTGCAGTCTTAGTTTTCAAGTTCTGTCACTGTCCGCGGTTATTTGTATTTATTCGGAGATCAAGAAGATGGGATGTACTCTGAGCACGGACGACAAGGCGGCGCAGGAGCGGAGCAAGATGATCGACAGAAACCTGCGGGACGACGGAGAAAAGGCTGCTCGGGAGGTCAAGCTGCTCCTGCTGGGTAAGAGAAAGATGGATGGACAGACAAACTGGGTGTCCGTCCGTGTAGTTTCTGGAAAAATAGATTTTTTTAAGGCCGTTAACAAGCTGGGACCTATATAATTTATACGTGTAAATTAAAGTTTTATCTGCCCGCTGATGAAGCAAACGTGGGTTTTATTGACTGGCACGTTCGGTGTTAACAGGTGTTGTATCGAAAAAAGCACCCCAGTAACAATAAGCATATAACCTCGAATTAATGATCGAGAAGAGTGTTTTCATCTTAACAGTTCTGCAAAGTACTAGTCGGTTTGTAACTTTTGATTCTCAGTTTACTAGTAAACAAAGTGCGTTACAACGTTCCTCAAAGGACGTCAGGGGGCGCGTTTAACTGCAGGGGTGCATTTTTCGGCACAACACCGCGGCTGATACAGTTAGCCTTAAAGTTTGAGCTACTTTCATTTCCACCTTGTTCTAACTGAACCAATTAACCACAGCACAATACATTAGCCAGTGTTAGTCATGAGCACGCTGAATAATCTCGCACAGGTCGCTTTTTATCCTCAAGTAAGTCTCTAAGCTAATTTGTTTAAGGCTACTTTAGCGCCTCGGTGTTAGCATGGATTAGTTAGCTGCTAGCTAACAATAAATGCCCACGCCGTTATTTTCTGCGGCTCTGTGTTTGTGCTGTGGTTGATCATATCGTAATAGATGCAGTTATACTGTGGGACTGTCTTTCGATTTCAAAAAGTTGAATCTGCGTACAAATCTGCACGACACAAGCAAACATTCATTCTGCTTGATAAACCGTAAAAATGTTGACGTCTGAAGGAAGGCCAGTACTTGTTTGGCCGAGATTAAATGATTGCCAACATGCTGCTCAACAAGTTTGAATACCTTCTAAACAAAGGTTTGAAAATTCTGCTCAAGTAAAAGTACTCGAGTACAAATGACCAGGCTAATCAACTAAAATAAAAGGTAACAGTATTTAAAATGGACTCAGAGAGTAAAAGTTATGTACAATACAGCACATAAATGACAACAGGGTGCATGTCTACTTTTCCTTATGCAAAGGTTTTGTGTTCTCTGCAGTCCGGTTTGCTTGTCTCCTTTCTTGGGATTGCTGAGGAAGTTTTTATCTTCTGACCATCAGTCTCTGCTGTAGAAGCACACATTCATTATTGTCTTTGTTTTTTCTTGTTTACCCATCAACTGATGTGATTTTAAAACTTTGCAATACTTGCAACAAATTGTACCCAAGTAAAATGAATGTACCGGTACTTAAAACACAAGTGCACAAAATACTACTTGAAAACACTAATGAAAGCATGTCCTGATGCATGCTCAATAATCCAGGTAGATAAATCTTAATACTATCTAATGGACAGATTCTTCTTTGTTGAAACCTTTTGTCTTTTATCCAAAAGACTGAAGTCTTTTTGGATAAAAGACAAAAGGTTTCAACAAAGAAGAATCCATCCAGATGACCTGATTGAACCTTCTTAAGAGTAATGAAAACAGTTTCTCAGTTTTCGCTTCTGCCTTTGTCTTTCTTGTTTGTGCACAACATCCTACATGTTAATAATCCAACAATTAATGTTGAACAGTAAACAGTTTTTGAAGAATGAATCATACCTCATTTTATTTTTGATTTGTCAAACTAATTTTGCCTTAGGTGGAAAAACATTATAATCTTTTATTAGATTATCTGTTATTAGTATTGCACCACTTTCTTTCATGGTTTCAAAGATAGCTGCCCCACCTTCCCCAGTAGCTCCTGTCCACGGTTGGTTGTGTCAGTGTAGATGGATGGGGTAGAAGTTGCATAGCAACCTTAGCAATCTGGCTGACAGCAATGTGCATCTGTGGCAACTCTCCCCTCAACAAAGATGGATGACTGGATGGCTGCCTTTAGGATTTGAGCTGTTCTTTTGAAGCAGCAGTTTTGGTTTTAATACTCGGGTTATTTATTGTAGTTATTTTCAATGCTTGTACTGCTAAGTGATGCCCCCCCCCCCCCCCAAATCAGATACTGATTGTTCAGCTGCAGTTTGTGTGTGCCACATTTCAGATGATGATTGGAATTTTAACAGTGGTAGTTGTGTTGTTTTTTTCTGTTACAGCTCTCACAATTTTCTGCATCAGATATGAGTTTGGACTGTGGCTGCGTTATCTGATGGTGATTCCACACACAGATTTAACTTCTGTCTTTATTTGTGATGTTGGATGTTGGACACACGTTCCTCACAGCAGTTTGCTTCTCTGGAGGTGTGCAGTAATCACCTAATGACATGCTCTTACAACGACTGAACGGGACGATTGCCTGAAATGTTGACTGTTGGTGTGTCAAACAAATGCTGCTGGTCAAGACTCGATTTCATTTTGGTTTTGGCGCCTTTTTGAACGATGAAACGGATGCAGAGACCGTGCTTATGTTTTACTGCAGAGATATCTTAATTTATTGTTGTAGCCTTGTTGAACAAAGAAACTCACTGACATATAGAAAACATTCAACTTTTCTGAATTTTTGCAATAATCGGCTTCTGAAGTGCCCTTCAAATTTAGCGGCTCAATGAGCCACAAAATTTGGGACCGCAACTTAATGGATTTTGCTTTGGTTATAATGGTACGTCTGTTGCATGTGGTTGTTGATCATATGGGACAACAAATTGCTAAACACTGCAGCTCACCTGGGAGCTGAGAGGCCCTGCAGAGGCAGTATAATTAAAATGTTGTATGCTCAGCTTAAAACACTTGTGAATCTCAGAGGGCGATGCAGAGCTAAGACATGGCGTACAAAACACTAATAACAAACACAGATCTTAGAGTCTCACAGTTGTATGGTTCTTTCCGTATTGATGCATTTTAACCACAAAGCTGAAATGATGGCCTGATTATTATGTTTTGATTTCATGCAAATGAAACGTCCGTACCGAGACATCTGACTCCCTTCAGCCTGATAAAGCAAGAGATTGTGTTCCAGGGAAATGTAAGCTGTGTGTAATCTTATTGACAGGAGGATCGAGTTGATTAATCCAGCTACTCTGAGACTCCTCCAAACTGGACCTTGGACACCTCTTCACAGATCTCTATAATACTGTTCCTTTTGATATGTTTGGAGAACAAACCCCTCAAGAGTAAATTTGTCAGGAATGGATCATTTGTTCACATGAGAAACTTAAGTTCCTGTTCTCAGCTGTTGACTCCTGTTTTTGACCTGTAGAGCTGCACACTTCATTAAAATCATGTTGTTTCTTAGAAGTGTAACATTTTTCATTTTAATATTTTATATTCTAAATGAAGCATCCACAAACTGGTGTTCTACTGGAATGAAGGTGGGGATTTCACAACAAATTGACTTTTTCCAGACATTTATGTGTAGAAAATTAAGAAGCACGTAAACAAATTCAAGGAACTGAAACTGGCAAAAACCAGAATAATGTTCAGTCAGTGTGAAGACAAAGGATTGTAGTCTGAGCAAACACGTTATTTATTGACAGAATTTATCTGTTTGATACAACTGGACTCTGAAGTATTTATTTGGTAGGAGGATATTCAGTTTTATATTTTGGAATGGGGGGTTATTTTAAAAAGTATAAATGTACACATATTTGTTTGGGGCACTGTATTACACAAATATTCCTTGCAGTAAATGTCTCTTTATTCAACGAGCATGTGTTGGTATCTAAAATGTTTTCGCGTGGTTTAAATTGAATTTCTTTTCTTCCCCACAGAGATTATGTAGATTTTTTTGTTTGTTTTGTGGCAGAGGATTGTAGCAGCACTTTTGATTTGATTGTATTTGATTAGTTTTGATTTTTGAGCACTAAAGTTCTTGTAATTTGTTGCCTACATTCTCAGACGAGTTGCAAAGCTTAGTGTACTCACTGCTGATTATAAAACAAATATTAGGTGCACCAAAACATTGCATGCAATGTTCTCTAAAATCAATTATGTTTAACTGTTTTGCAGCGATTTTGTAATTTCTGTAGCTATTGCACTTTTTCCGTAAATTTTGATTTATTTTGTCTTATTTATTTTCTGTTTCAGGCGCTGGGGAATCTGGGAAAAGCACAATTGTTAAACAAATGAAGTAAGTAGTAAAATAACACATTTACCAGTACTTGAAGCACAAGCCAAACCCTTGCTCACTTAAAAAAAAAAAGTATAATCACGGAAAATATGTTTTTCAGCCTTCATAAAGATGGAACGAATTTGCAGCAAATCTCTGAAACAGCTCGGATGATTGTAAAAAAATGAAAAATAAAACGCAGTCACATGAAAATCCAGCTTTTGTTCCCTCAGCATTGTTCTTTACATAAAAGCCACCAATCATTTCATTGTGAAATAATCAACTATCAGTTTTCAAACATCTTCACCATCGTCTGCTATCTGACAGTTTTATGAAGCCTTGCATGCATTTATTTTCAGCTCAAAGTAACTTGCTTATTATTGACCAAGAAAACAAGCACAATGAAGTGAACAAGTTGATAATCTTAAAGATGGCTAAATATTTTGTTGTAAACTGTTTTCATGGCTCATCATTAAATATGCAATAATCTACATACTAGTCAACACCAAACGGTCAAATACTTCAGATGGAACCAGCTGGTACTCACGACAAAGCACCGAGGGACTTCCCTCAGCCACTACTGTGGCAGCCACAGGGCGCTCCAAAAGTTGTAGATGTACATTGATTTATTACTTTTGTTTCAGTAAAATCCATCCAATGGTTCATGAGATATTTTGCTAACAGACACAGACATTTACACAATTGTTTGTTTTTGTAGAGGTGGGTGTTAATTACTGTGCTGTGTTTAAGTGAATCAAATCGAAGCCATTTTGATGTTCTCTGCTCTGTAACATTAGAATAACACAAAGGAAATTTCTGCAGCTAATTTAATATTCATGCAAATACTTTTGTGGTTTAATAAAATGTTTATAAGGAAGTTTTATATATTGTTTGTTGTTCAAACTAGCTAAATGTTACTGGACAAAATATGAGTCTATTTCATGTGCAGGAACAAATCTTACTCTTTTTGATGAAAAACTTGATAGGTCAGAAAGCTATTTTTGTATTTTACTATTTTTTTATGTGATGTTTAAAAACTTGTTTATTTGCTAAGATATTTAAACAAAACGACAAACATTATTTTGTAATTTGCTCCTGCTGCCCCCAAGTGGCCAAGTATATTTTCATCTTTAAAAACTACGATCTTTACGTTCATAAAACCTCTTATGTGTTTGTATATATTTTGATCTTAATTATGCAGTTAGCTCCTTTTATTTGTCTGAGTTTAGTAAAGAAAAAAAAAAGAAGACAGTTTGAGCAAACCTTATTTTTAAATGCTCAAATTAATTTTGGTGTTCCAGTAGAAATCAACTCGTCATGTCCTCAACTTGTTTTCCAGGATCATCCATGAAGCAGGTTACTCAGAGGAGGAGTGTAAGCAGTACAAGGCCGTGGTGTTCAGCAACACTATCCAGTCCATCGTCGCCATCATCAGAGCCATGGGACGCCTCAAGGTCGACTTTGCTGATCAAGGCCGAGTGGTGAGAGTGGGGAAACAGCATATTGTGTGTAGTTCAGAGCTACAATTATTAACCACCAACTCTTCCTGTCCTGATCATTAGGTTTTATAACAAACTACAGTAGTTCCTCGTTTATCCAGATAGGATCCGTACCCTGAAGCCCTGCGATAAGGGAAAAACCGCCAAGTAGGAATAGTAGTATAAGTAGTAGTTTATTTTAGTATATATTTT